TGACACCTCCCTGAGGAATTCATACTGTTGTGGCTGGGGGACTTTTGGAAATTGGGGTTTTGGCTGGGGAGATTCTTGCTAGAGGTTGTAGCTAATAAACATAGCTGGACTGAATTTGCATGATCTCTTGGAGTTCCTTGGGCTAGGCCTGACAAGAAGGCATCTTATTGAGAAGCAGGGCCTTTTTAATTATTTATTTTTGATAAATAGAGTTATTTTTCTGGTGAGAACCTGAAGATACTGGAAGGGCTGAATTGGAGGAGAGTATCATTCAGTTGTCTTACTCTTACTCTCCTTACTCCAGTAGTTTTGATAAGGACAAGGTGAAAAAAGTGATTGATGAAGTAACTTGCTGGATGTGCTCAGCAGAAGAGGAAGATTCTATGGTTCTGCATGATATGTATGGTATGAATTAATACCTTTAAGATTCTTTCATCTTTTAAATTCTTGTTTATTGGTCCCTTGAAAATCTGTTCACACTATTTTGTTCTGGGTTTTATTAGCTTTAAAAGGGATAATTATAGTTTTGAGCCGTTTGAACAATGTATGCAATAAAGACTTTTGCAGATTGACTTGACTTACGGTATGCCTTGCAAAGATAATAATCTTTTCATAACCATCCCCCAAATCAAATTAATGTTTTTTAAACAGTTTATTATTCACTGTAGCAGACAGCTGAGCCAATAGAATAGAAGGCTGGAGATCACAAACCATCTCTTCCAGAAACTCCCTGGGTTTTCACACCCTAGCTCTGCCTCTTGTTTGGAGGTAGCAATTTTATAGTTCTGCTGCCACCACCTGTCTTCCAGGAGCTGCCTCACCTGGCTTCCTCCCCTAACCCTGGACTGTCAGAGAGATAGGTCTTTCTGTCAATTAAAAGATAAAAATAAAGTTTAAATACTTTATATCAGTAATGCCACTTCTTGGCCATATAGAGTGCAAATGTGGGGCTAAAGAATTCAATCCTCCCCCCTTTTTAAAAAGAAGGAAAGATAAAATGTAAGAATTTAAAGTTAAATAATTTTTAAAAAGCTGGTAATCTGAGGAACCAAAACAGAAAAGATCTCTAAAGGAAATACAATATTCTGGATAGACCACAAGTTGATGTTGGTCTACCATAAGCAAAGAGAATATTACAGTTCCCAAGGATAGTCTAGAGCAGAGGTTCTCAAACATTTTGGTCTCAGGACCCCTTTGCATTCTTAAAAATGATTGAGGACCCCAAAGAGCTTTGGTTTATTTAGGTTATATCTATCAATATTTACTGTATTAGAAATTAAACCTGAGAAATTTTAAAATACTTATTTGACTTCATGGACTCCCTAAAAGGGTCTCGGGGACCCCCAGCAGTCCTCAGATCACACTTTGAGAACTGCTAGTCTAGAGAAAACAAGGATATATTTTGGACATGCCTTCAATGCATAAATGCAGGAGTTACTTTAAGTTGTACAGAGAAATAAATAATGTTTAGACTTTAGAACAACATAGAAATCCAAACCAAGAATATAGTATAGATTCCTGGCTAAAGCATATTCACTATTTCTACAGAAATAGAATCTTCTTTTATCTGGACTTCCCATTTTCTTTGGGTTTCAGATTTGAAACAGGCCATGGGGAGATGGCAAACTCTCTCTTTCCCAGCCTTAATTCAATGACTTCTCTGATATTTTGTTCCATTTGTCTTTCAAAACAGAAAAACACTTTCTTTCTCCAGGCTGGGGGGGGGGGATGTTGCCTTAATGTACATGTCAGAATTTCTCCCCTTCATGGGGGTGCGTATTGGCAATATGGTATGAGAAGCTGCATTCCACGTAGCTATAGCTACTGATATGCGTGTAATATGGGCCTCTATGTGTGCATTTGTGTAAAAAATTCATACAGACTGTATAGTATAGCCTTCCCCAGTTTTTAAGATCTCAACTTTCAAGTGGAGGAACTTAGTTCATGATAACCAAAAAAAATACTCCATTAGGAAATTAGCATTTCAAAAATAAAGCAAGGTTATAGCTCCATTCACTGAGTGCAATCTTTCAACAGAAGGGTCAGTGTTTTTGGTATGGAGGTTCCCCCTCAATCTCTGTTTTGAAATAATGCAGTTTTAGGGGGGGTATCGTTTTGAAATTTAGGTGTAGTGGTTAAGGTGCGGGCCTAGAAACCAGGAGATGGTGAGTGGTAGGCCTCCCTTGAACATGAAAGCTGCTGGGTGACTTTGGGCCAGTTACTCTCAGCCCAACCCACCTTACAGGGCTGTTCCTGTGGGGAAAATAAGAGGCAGAAGAATTAGGTATGTTTGTCACCTTGGGATGGATGGATGGATGGATGGATGGATGGATGGACAGACAGACAATGGGTGGATGGATGGACGGATGATGAATGGGTGGATGGATGGATGGATGGGTGGGCAGGCAGGTGGGCGGACAGACAGAATCTCCTCTCACCCCTATGGG